AGAAGTGAGTGGAACACACCAGAATTTTCTCGAACCAACGAGATTATTTTGTAAGTGCTATTAGCGCCATCTGCTAGCGATAGAAGGTACTACCTATTTCCGCTTGTGTCCACCAGATGTCCTGTCACGTTACTCCTCATGGCTCGCTCGTACTCTACGACTAATCTAGAAATTATAGATAATGACAGGAAAATTAATAATATGCAGTGTTGCCGTTTTGCGGACTTTAGTCCGATTTGCAGCCTTTTTTAAACGTGGCGTACTTTTTCGGACTTTTTTTTTCATGTAAAAAAAATACTCATTCGTTACTTGAGTACTCGTTACTCGTTAGGAACCGAAGTAACGATTACTGAAGAAAAAAGTAATCAATGATTACTTGTGTATTTCATTACTTTTGTAATCAATGATTACTATGGCGATACGATGCGGGTACCCCATTATAACGGATACCCATACGATACGGAAAATACATCAGCTTCCCCGTCGCTAGAGGCATCTGGCAGAAATTAAATGAGTATCGTCCCCGTCGCTAGAGGCATAAAATTAAAGCGTTCCCGTCGCTAGAGGCATCTGGCAAAAAAGTAATATTTTACACCACTAGTGGACTGATTCAACTTTTTACCACCGGCAACAATGAATGATAATATGGTTTTGGCCCTTGGAATTTACTGGAGTAATCAATATGGTCCTAAGGCTGGAAAGTTTGGAGACCCCTGTTCTAGGACATACAGAATAATCACTTGGATCGTAACTGGCTCAGTAATCGGGCTATTTCGGCAACCAAAAATGTTGATGTTGACGAAATTAACTTCCAGATGCAACATTTGTTGCCAAGTAATCTGGTGTCTTTTAAATCAATCGACACAATTGTTGATGAAAATGTAAGTGTAAATTTTCCACTTGAATTTTTAAATTCTCTGGATGTACCTGGAATGCCACCACATAATCTTCGGTTGAAGACTGGTTCTCCTATTATTCTTCTGCGTAATTTGAATTTACCTCAATTATCCAATGGTACACGTTTTGTCATCAAAAACATCACCGGAAATATTCTTGAAGCAACCATTTTGACTGGAAAGTTTACAGGAGAAGTGGTCCTGTTGGCACGCATTCCAATGATACAGTTGGAATCTGTCTACCCTTCAAAAATCTTCTGTTTCCAATTCGTTTAGCATTCACCATGACCATAAATAAGTTTCAAGGCCAAACAATGTCTATTTGTGGCTTAGACTTGGAAAATCCATGTTTTTCCCATGGGCAATTATTTGTTGCATGCTCACGTGTGGGAAAGTCATCGAATCTCTTTGTGTTAGCAAAAGACATGATTAAAAGCTAATAGGTTATGCACCAATTAGATATGAATTAATTTAAAATTAAATGTTTTTATAATTCAAAATGATTCATATAATTAGTAAAAAATAATAAATAATCTGCGATACCTACTTCATTTAAAAATTGTTGTATGTTATCAACTAAGAACTTTGTAAATTACCCATTTATTAAATACTATACTTGAATATGAGATGAATAAAATATAAAATTTAAAATTTTATATTGATTTGTGCTTAATATTAATTCCACGAAAATTTTCATCAATCGCCTCTAAATTATGACATAAGGTTCAGATTTCAATCCTGTGGGGGTTTTACATCAGCTACAACGTTTCCGTTATATATATATATATATATAATGAAAGTGAATTTTTAAATCTTAATAAGAATTAGAGGTGTAAAATACCTTCAACTATTTCAGCCAGTTTGGGCAGCATGTTGACATCTTTACCTTCTAGTCGATATCCATCTTCGCTGAGAAGTATCTTGGCATTCAACTGTTGGAACCTTCGCAGGACTGCCTAAAGTATTTTAGCAAGAAAACATTTGACTCAATCCTTGCATTTTGAAAAATTTAAGCCAATTTTTTGCAATTCTAATGTTCAGTACACACATAAAAATTAGAAAACAGTTCTGATAATTTTTTTATTCCTTTTTATACCGGTAAAAAAAATTAAGGAGAAACATGAGTTGAAATATTCGTTGGATTTTTCTTGTGATGCTTTTTCTATTTTCATTTCTTTCCCCACCCTTTCGATTGCCTTGATACTAGATATAAAAGTTAGTTGTTTCAAGTTATATACAACTGGTACTTACAAGTTTTTAAATGGCGTAGAACATGAAATCAAGTAAAAATGTGCATGATGAGAAAAATTGATAACTATTCATCATTTTGACGCAATTGAAAATAAATTGGTATAAGTACTGATTGTTCAACGGGTATTAAATTCTGTTGTGAAAATTGACTGATTTCTCACCATGAAAATATTCTAAATTTTAAATTTCTTAGAGTTCTTTCTGTGTTTTGGAGCTTAAAAATGGAATTCATTGCGTTAAAAGCGTGTCTCCAGCTTCTGAAGAGAAAAACTTTTCCACATAATGACTTCAAAAGATTTTTTAATTAATTAACACATAAGTTTTTTCGATTCTAAATTTACTAAGCAATGAGAGAATAAATAAATAAATTATGAAATATACATTATTATTAAGTATATATTATCAAATCAGCTTACGATACAATTACCATCAATCCGCTTAAAATTGCTCTTAAATTATTTTTAAACAAAAGCACTGCTAAAAAAAAAGCAGAAATATTTATTTGTTTATTTATTTGTATATTGTATTGATATGTCTAAGTGTACTGATAAGTATTGCAATCACTTTACTTCGGAAATGACTACACTAGTGTCCAAGGTAAGTATAATTCATAAAATGCTAAAACATGTGAATGAATTTTGGTGAGAATCATCTGTTGAAGGTAAGACTTTGCCTTAATTCAAAACACTTAAGGCTTCCGTCTTCCCGCCATTTTGATTTTTCGTGGACGTAATGTTAATGTTATGAAATTTTGATTCTCCCATCTTTATTATTTGATCTATTTGAATGCAATAAAGTGCATCTGAAAAAGCAACAAATAATCAATGCTTCTGTGGAATTACTTTTTTCCTAAGATATTTAAAAATGCTTTTATTCTTATTTTAATTACTCGTTTTTTAGTTTTCCGGTCTTTAAAGAATATTTTCAAATATTTTTAATAATCGGTGGAAAAAAGTAATTCCACAGAAGCACTCATTATTTTTTGTTTTTTCAGATGCACTTAGTTGTATTCAAATAGATCAAATAATAAAATGGGAGAATCCAAGTCGAAATCCCATAGGATTAACATTAAGCTGATGAAATCAAAATGGCGGGTAGACGGGAGTTTAAATTGATATCTTCATGTGCAAAATATTTGTGCTCGTTGGAAAACAGATAACCCGACAAAACGTTTCCGAAGGTTTCAGGAAAATTATTCTCGATAGAACTTAATTAACGATTTAAAACGATGACACAAAGGCGACAATTAGATAGGATTTGCAAAAGTAAAAAACCCAATCGTTGGAATGCTAGAGTATGGACAGTCATAAATCGAAGTGTCTCGACTTCTGGATGTGATTCAGTGGGCAATCTTAAAATTTTGGTAGAGGTTTGTTTCAAAGAGTAATAAATTTGATTTGGCGATAAGTAATAGGTAGACCAAGAGTTACACCCCTACACCAAGACCGATATCTGGCAGTAACTGCACGACGACGTAAGAGGTACCATTATGTAAGAGGACTGATTGTAGCGTTCACAGCCGCCAGGAGTACGAGTTTTCAGACTAACTGTTGACAGGAAATTTTGTGATGCTAATCTTCATATCAGATGATTAGTAATTTTCATTCCGCTAATATCTAAGCATAAACGCGCTTGTTTACTCATGAGTTTGGAACATTGCCACTAAAGTCAGGCCAATGTGATGTTCAGTGACGAATCTCTCTTTTGTCTAAGCACCGATTCTTATCGGCTAACGATATGGACAAAATATGGAACTCGTTTTCATCCGAGAAACATCATAAAAATACATCACTTTCATTCAAATGCATTCATGGTATAAGCAGGTATAATGATGAACGGCAAAACAAACCTCCATAACTTTCAGGCGAGATTTATGATTACAAAAGGTACAGATTTTTGAATCTTATGTTTACCTGTTTCGAGGTGCTGATAGTTCAAACTGCATATTATTGGATGAAAACCCACCTTGTCATCCCACGGATTTGATCAAAGATTTCTTCGAAATGGAAAATATGCAACTCACTTCCACGACCTGCTCTTACCTCAACAGAATCCTATGGAGGATGTATGGGATATGCACGCAGCATAGTTTTTACCCCTTCCTCTCTTACTAAGCTCTGTTCCAGATCTGAAAAGAGCTCTTCGTGACTTTTGGAACTCTTCGAGTCCACAACGGATCCATAAGGTCATAGAGAGTATGGGAAATCGTGTTGCAGAGTGCCTGGCTACCAGAGGTGAACGTATACATCATGAAACTGCATAATCTCCTTTTTATTTCATTTGTTTTTCCGTAAAGCGTGAACTTCTTTTTCGCCCAGTTTTCTTTCAGACCTTTTTCTGGGATAATTAAAGTGGTTCTTATCGTTTGTTTGTATTGTTTTCTCACAGTATAATCATTTTACACTCATATATCCCGTTTCCTACCATTCCAATTCTGAATTCCTTCGTTATTCACAGAATTACCAATTATGCGTAACTCTCGGACATTCGTGTAGAATGCTTAGAATATCTCTCTCGATACTTAAAAATATTTTTGTTACTAATTTCACTTAAGAAGACAGAAACACAGGAGCTTAAATTCAATCAGAATTGCCATAAAATCATTCGATGTATCCTTAAATGCCTTGAAATATCTTTTGAATATGACCTTTTGTACAACACCGTTTAGAATCAATTTTTCATATTTTTCATTTTAAAAGGCTCTTGAATTGAAAAGGAGCTGTCATATCTTTTTCGTAATGTTACATTTACAGTTTTTGTTTAGTTTTTATTGACGTCACACAAAAAGCAACGCGAGGGCTGTTTGAGCCCCTCAAACTTTGACTTTAGGCCCCGACAGATTTAACGTGCATCAGCCACGGCTACACAGCGGGTCTTTAGCCCGCGATTGCTCGAAAACCGCCGGCCGGGAATCCCAAACCATGACCACTAGGTTACCGCGGCCACACTGCATTTACAGAACACGTATCTTACATAATTAAAAAAAAAACTGTATTTTCTTCCCTGAAAATGCCAATTTTCAACGATCCTCATTTTTTCTAGTTTCTAAAGTAATATTGCGAATTATATTCAATCTACGATGCATGAACGATCAGGGAACATAACACATATTGCCTTGCTTCCCATCTGGGTCGATGACTACATTCACTGAAAGAAGAATCATCTCACAGTACTTAATCATCACTATTCATGGCTAACCTTGCAGATTGAATCCATCCTATTTGAATCTCCACTATATGCTTCTCGTTGAGGCACGAAGCGACATTTCAATCTGCATACGATTTCATTGAACCTGAGGATTGCGCGTTTTTGTTTTGTAGGTCTACCAGTTAAATTATCTGTTTATGTAGCGCATCATAGAATACTGAATCCGTAATGCTCTAATCTTTTGAAAAGGAAATTTCTCCACTTTTTTATTATAGTTTTAAAAAAAAGAAGCACTAACTTGAAAGAAGAGTCGCTGTGATGAGATTGAAAGGGTATCAGAAAACCACTTGACAACACACATAGAAAATATTTCTCTAATTCGTGCACATTATTCAGATGCATGAGGAAACAGCAGAATACCCGACATATCAAGTAAGCAATTAATGAAGAAATATTTCCAACCATTAAAAATAAATGTAGAACTCTAAATAGATATCCAGACCAAATGACAACAAAAAAATTACAATGACTTTAGTACAAATAGGATACGTTAAATACAGCTACATTTTTTCATTCCTTTCTAAACTTTTTTATTCTTAAGTAAATTGATATAATATTTTAAAAATTGCTTTTCTTTCTTTCATAATTAAATATAGCCTATTATTAACATTTTGAGAACATTTTAATTTCTCTGATACTTTTTCTTTAAAAAATTGTCCCTGTATTTGAATTTTAAATAAAACTGTATCACTTTTTATTAAAAGAACTGTACATCAAGTTTACTTCCATATTCCATATATAAGGGCTCGCCATTGTTTTCTAAAGCCTTACCTCTGATTATAACGAACTTTGGAAGAATAAGTTCTACATTCATTTAATGGAATATGAAAGTGATTTTATTTATTAGGATACTAAGCATCGATGATGAAAAAGTATATCGCGTAAGTAAGACTTTCTTCAGCAAAATCATTGTTACACAAAGAGAAAAAATGTGATGTTAAGACGAAAAAAAGAGTAAAGAAGAAGAAAAGTAATAAGAACGGATTCATTATATAGAATTAGAAAGTAAAATAATATAAAACGGAAGTGCAGAGAAAAATAACTAAATTATTGCGAATATTTTAGCACATATTATTTTGAAAGAAAGGTGGAAACTATATAGATAATGAAAAGGTACATACTACTTTTTCTTTTTGTTTGTTTGAGTAACCTTATTAAATTTAATTACCGTCATTAGAATATGATATACTACCCTCGTTTCAAAAGAAGCGTTTTGTAAGAAAGGCGTCCACTCTTACCTGGGCTCCCAGCATGGGTAGAGCTGCTGTCCAAATCGCTCCGATGCTGATGACGGCCTGCGTTGCGAAGACTGCTTCCTTTCTGTTCGACATGTGACCTACAGCATTTGAAATATTTCAAAGGGATAGTATGCAAAGAATTCACAATAAGAAATAAACTGCCTTTAAGTCAAATATTATTCATTACTTCAAATGAATTGAAATAGAAATCTTTTATAAAGATTTTAGATTTAGAAACAAAAGACAATCATTTAAGTACATAATTCCTTCCGTTCCTTCTTCGGAAGATACGATTTTGATCCGTTTACTTAATCTGTTTTGTCTTTAGTGCTACTATTCTGTCTACAAGCCGTTTTGAATTCGTAAAAATAATATTAATCCAATGAACATTTAAATTAATTTCTCTAATTAATACTATAAACTATGAAAACAAATGAATTCAAATACATACACATATACAGTTACACCCTGAAATAGTTTACACTATTTTCAGAAGGTATCTCGTTTACAAATAACTTATACTGTATAAAGATATTTTTTTTTTTTTTTTTTTTGTCTTCATTTCATAAAAAATGTAATTTTACTTTTTATTTATGATATTACTTTTTATCTAAAGGTTTCACAATACCTTCCATATCCAAAACTTTGTAAAGAACATAATATTGTCAAAGAACTAAATTTTACATGGTCACAAGATGATCCAGTTTATGAAACCTTTTTTTTTCCATTTTGACTTAATTTTATTACTATATTTTATTTTTATTTTTGAATTATTTGATCACTGCAAGTATTAAAAGTATCTAAGCATTTTACAACAACTAAAGACATAAGCTTCGCTTATTTTCATAGAAAGAAAATTGTGCTGAATAAATTTGAAAATATTTTTATCGATAGAAAACTGCTTACAAATGACAATGTCTCCCTTCTTAAGGCCGAATTTACGAAATGCTGCAGCGTACAATCGTGTTTGCTCGTACATCTGGGCGAAAGTGTAAGTTTCACTTTCGGTATTCTCGCCTAGAAAGTCAAACATAATTATGAATGAAATAGTGTGTATATAGTTATAAATTGTATTCTTAAAACACTATTTATAAAGTAATTTTTCATTAGTAAACAATATTTCACATTCCATTTAAATGCTTAAATCTTTTGATTGCTCTTATAAAGCTAATGGTATTGCTCTTATAACGCTTAATGCGCTTTCCATTTTTAAAATTTTTCCACATAAATTGCCATGATGTACAATACAATGGTATGCCATCAAGATCGTATTGCCGGCAGCGACGGCTTCATTATTAACCATTTTAACGAGTCCCCCAATTTTACCAATCATGGCAGGGGCTCCATCTGTTATGATAGCCGATAAATTCGAACGTTCGATGGCCCCTTTTTTCTGTGAAGGGCTTCATTGGCCAAAAGGATTAGGAAATCGAAATACAATGCAATATACAGAGTGTTTCATATTGAATGGGACAAAAAGAATAGCGCAGTGTGACTGCCGTAATGGATTTATTCAGCCGAAACAAATTTATTCTGCAACTACAATTATACAAGTTTCATTTGGCAACAGGGAAAAATTAAGGAATGACGAAATCGGCACTAGAGGCGCTGTTCAACAAAATGTCGTCCATGCAGAAGAAAGCGTACTTCGTTTTCGAATATGCCAAAACTTCCTCGGTAACTGATGTGCAAATACATTTTTCACACGAAATTTCTTAAAGAACCACCGCATCGGCATAACATAAGCAGGTGGGTGAAGCAGTTCCAGGATACCGACTGCTTATGCAAGAACAAAAGCCCAGGAAGAAAAGAAACAAAACCCGAAGTGGTTGAAAGAATTCGTGATTCGTTTTTACGGAGTCCCTCAAAATCAACGCGACGTGCAGGTGCAGAACTGGCTGTCCTCACACAACGGTGTGGTGTGTTTTACGGAAGAGTCTCCAATTCAAGCCGTACAGATATCAGACGGTCCAGGCTTTAAAACCTACTGACAAACCGTTGCATAAGAATTTTTGTGTGAAATTTCAACAAAAGCTCGACGTGAATGGTTTCGAGAACACAATGGTGTTTACCGATGAAGCCACGTTCCTCTTATGTGGCAAAGTTAATCGCCATAATTTGCAATTTTGGGGCGCGGAAAATGTCCATTTAACATTAAAACATCAGCGTGATTCTCCCAAGGTGAACGTTTTCGGCGCTTTATCAAACAGTTGTGTTTTGGGTCCATTTTTCTTTGCTGAAAAATTGATTAATGGGGACATTTACCAAGACATGCTCTCTGAATAGTTGCTCCCCCAGCTGGAGGAAGCTGTTCCTAATTTCATTTTGCAGCAAGATGGTGCTCCCCCATATTGGAATAAAAACGTATGTGAGTTCCTGAACGAATGTCTACCCCCTCGCTGGATTGGCCGTGCTGGGCCACAGGATTTGACAGGTCTTCATTGGCCACCGAAATCACCAGATCTAACGCCCTGTGATTTTTTTCTCTGGGGCTTTGTTAAAGACAAGGTGTTTGTGCGTCTGTTTCCTCAGGACTTAACTGAAGCAGCGGATAACTGCAATGTTGAACTCCATCACAGGGGATATGCTATCACGAGTGTGGCAGGAGCTTGATTACCGTGTAGACATTTGTCGTGTCACCGGAGGGGCACATATTGAACAACTGTAGAAACTTGAATAAATGTAGTTTTGAGGTAAATTTGAATTTTCTAAATATATTAATTACAACGTTCACAATCATGTTTTCTTTTTGTCCCATTCAATATGAAACACCCTGTATTACATACAAATATTGTAGTTTTTCAAAAATTCGCCTTCGAGTGGATACACACATGATTCGAAACGTAAATTCTCATGGCATACTAAGATGTTTTTATTCAAATTTATTTCAAAATAAATGTCTACGAATCGATTATATATGAAAAATATTGCACACATTTATTTTCTTAATAAAAATGTATAAATTTAAATATTTTCATAATTTGCGTTTAGGCCGCATTTTAAAGGTTTTTGGGCCGCACTTCAGACAAGCATGATTTAAATAGATATGAACTCAGTGCCGAATTCAAATTGGACAAAATGGATAAATTAAACGTTCCGGAACTAACTGCAACCGAATATTTAATATAATCTTTAACGATTAAAGTTGCATTATGTCTGATAAGATTGGATTCAATTATATCCGAAATAAAAGGCGAAGAATTAAGTGAAAAGGACTCCAGTGATTGGGACTAGAATTCCGATGCTGAAGCATACAATAAATTATCACTATCGGAAGATCAAGCGCTCCAATTTGCAGAGGAAGAAAATGCAAATAATCTATGGAAGAAAATAAATCTATGGGAGGAAATAAAACTTATATACATGGGACAGGTCGAAGATAGAAAAATAGATGTCGGGAATCAGCTGAAAAATCTGGAAGTGAAGAGTAATGAATCTGCAGTCGATTATATTCCACAGCTAGTTGAATCGCTACTTAGTGTCAATCTCAAGAACTAG